AGTTACCAGACGCGTCTCTGTAGACTTTCAAGCAAACGAGTTACTTGGAACTTGGGAGAAGGAACTTGTAGAAAAGGATTTATGGAAGAAGCACCCTCAGAGATTTTCGAATACAGGTTTGGGGAGGGGATCGCAACTTAAAAGGAAGCTTTATATTTCAAAACTCCAGATACCTGGATTTCACGTTGTGTACCTATCCGTAAGTATTCCTACTACCCTTCACTATGAACATGTTGAAGAGGAGCGAGAAGCTGTACGAAACGAACCGCATTTTCCAGCTTTTGTATGATCCATGATGATCCCCGGCGCTTTTCTTTAAAGTCATTTTTCTTTCTCCGAAGTTAACGAAAAACCTCCAAAGTTGTGCAGATTATCCAACCCGACAGTGCTAAGCATGTTCGTGATAAGAACAAATGATGTTTTGAAGTCATGAAATTTTCGATGATCCACAGGTCGAAATTTGAGGTTTACCGAAAAATTCGACATTTCAAAAACTCATTTGTTCTCATCAGCAACATGCTTAGCATTGTTGTGTTAGATGTTCAGTACAGCTTTGGAAAATTTTCGTTAACTTCGGAGAAAGAAAAATGACTTTAAACAAAAGCGCCGGGGATCATCAAGGATCATACTAAAGCTGGAAAATGTGGTTCGTTTCGTACAGCTTCTCGCTCCTCTTCAACATGTTCATAGTGAAGGGTAGTAGGAATACTTACGGATAGGTACAAACGTGAAATCCAGGTATCTGGAGTTTCAAAATATAAAGCTTTCTTTTAAGCTGCGATCCCCTCCCCAGCGGGGAGGTTAGTGCATGCGGCCCTTAGTCTATCTGCCAGGCAGTGGGCGGTCCCAGGATTTCCGTCCGGAGCAGGGGGGGAGGGGAGGGGCGGCGAAATTTTTTTCAAATGAAGGAGCGTGGCGTTAGCGCTTTGAAATTTCTTGGGGTACTTTTGAAAATTTTTGCGGGCCCACAACCCCTAAAATCTAGAAAAGCCAAAAAAATTTCTACAAGGCCAATTTGAATTTTCAAAAAATTTCAAAAATTATGCCAATCATGTACGAGAATAAAGAAGTCACTTGCACATTTTTATAACTTACGTAAATAAATTTTCAAAAATTTTGCAACCCATGGGGGGGGGGGGCGCCTTTCCCCCGCCCCCTCTCGGACCGCCACTGCTGGCAGGGAACCTAAGTTCCCGCACCCCTGTAGAATAGTTTGCAAATCATGTATACTCGCACTTCCGCAAAAAAGTCCTTTTTCCTCAAATTCTTTTGTACTGCGCGACACACTCTTGGTCACTATGTTGCTAAAGGACGTGCATCCTATCAAAATGATTGTTTCATTACTACGCCCATGTAATTTGTCAGGAAGGAGGATTTTACTTGATTGTGACTGCTCTGAACTATTGAAGGTTTCCGAGAGCCTCTTTTCTCAGAATTTTGGGGTTTTGGGTCCGCGAATATACCTGATTAACATCCTAGAGAATTTTTCAAAGGTTATGGGTAACGTCACTTCCCACTCAGATTATAAGTCACTTCCTCTCCCCTCTCTGTGTAAAAAACTCCCCTTCCCCCTTTTGTGAAAATTTTTTCTGGACCACTGTTATAAATACATAGAAATTTTTTTCTCACTGGCAGCACTTATGACCTTTTGGTAACCGCGCATGCACTCAAGACTCGGCACTCACTCATTCATTAAAAGTCAAATTGCATTTTAAAGGCATTTTTTAGAAAAATGCAATTTGTCTTTCAGCAAATGCCTGACGGAAGATACTGAGGGAAAGTCGAGAAGCAAGAAACCTTCAGATTTTACGCCACATTATCCTTTGTCTTCCAGGGTAAAAAATAAGTACGGAAAAACCACGTAGACATTTTTTGTGTGATTTATCCACAGAATCGGCTTATACCCCCACGTGGCATCTTTATTTCGATTTCGCCAATCACTTTAAGTAAACTTTTGCACCCCCTAAATTCCTTACGTGTATGTGCTTTGATCATATGGCTCGATTTTTTCTCTGCAAAATCCAAGCGTTTTTCTTGATTTTGAAAAAGAGCAAACGGTGGAAGACTTTGTTGGCAATTATGTAACTGTTTGCTTTTTGGCTACCCGTGTGTACACACAGAAGAGTTTTCTCTGGCTCGCGTGCATTTACATTCTGCCACCGTGCCAGAATCTAATTTTGTTTTTGAGAGCACTTTCCGAAAAGCAAAGGGACACTGTTTTTTTTGATCAGGGATTCAAACACATCGGAAAGTTCCTTGGTATATAACCCTTCTTACTTGACACTTCAAGTTGTCCCTCTGGAACCCTACGAACAAGGCATTGGCGGGAGGCAGTAATAGCTGCTGGACATTATTTCCTTTTGACTTAGCTTCTGATCAACTTTGCTAAGAATCTACCTGAATTTTCATAACACTATTTGGTTGCTTCTGGTATCAGTTTTTTTGCGTCCCTAAAACCACATCTAAGAAAATTGGGACGGCAATAAGCCAAAATCAAAGTTCCGCTCCAGGACTTCGCAATCGTTAGGTCTCTTGACTGGGTAACCAGTTCTGCAAGCTGTAGTAAAAGCTTCTAGGCGGTCATCAACGAGCGGGCTTGGCATTTAGCGAATTTTTCTGGTTTGATCTTTTGCGATTTTTACACTATCTGGAATACAGTTGACGATCTACAATACCCTCTTCTTGAAAAAACGGCGCACAGTTACCCGATCCATGTGAGCATCACCCTAGGTTGGCCATATCTCGCTACAGAGTGGACGAATTCTCAATCCAAGGGCATCAATCAACTCACAAGGGAACCGTGTCGAGTCGAAGTGGCCTTTCCAGATGAGACCCATACTGCTTTGAAGGGTATTAAGCGGTGATTCCAAATCTGCCTTCCAAATCTGCCAAGCGCCTCTGGACGCCAAGTTATGACCGTTCTTCGGAACGAAAAATGAATGCAGAATCTAGGTAAAATTGATTGGTACATCCAGCGCTCAGATAAAGCAATGTTAAGTATTAGCATATTAAATAAAATGTATCCATTGCATAAACAGCTCTGATACTTGACACTGGACCATTTGAGCAAATTTGGGCGATTTTGCTTCAGTTTTACGTTCAATTTTTTGACCTGTAAAACGAGCACAACTCGTCGTTCAGAGACGCTTGGCAGATTTGGAAAGCAGATTTGGAATCACCGATTAATGCTCTTCAAAGCAGTATGGGTCTCATCTGGAAAGGCCACTTCGACTTGACACGGTTTCCTTGTCAGCTAGGCGCGACGCATTCTCTGATAAATAGAACTGCCTGTTTACACGCAGCAGAAGGTCAGATCGAATTGTTCGATTTTTGATTAGCGTAGGTTAATGTACTTATTCGTTGCCCTTACTTGGCAATCTAGTGTAAGAGAAAATCGAAATATTTCATGAATTCTGGCTCCTACTATGTCCAAACAGCCACTTCTATTTACCAAGAGATAGCTGCGCCGAGCTGAGTCAGATCGTGTTTGGATTAAAGGCAGTGTCTCACCAAAATTTAGTTGCCGAAATTCTTGCATTTTGCAAGCCTGTCAGAACCTGTCTAGCACTGTATGGGTTTAAAATCGCACGAAGTTCCCAAAAACCCCGTTTTCTGGAGGCCCCGCGGAAGCAACGTGGACGAGTTGTACCTTCCAACTTCAGCCTCAGCCACAGTGGCAGCAACAGAGGGGAGATGGATGCCAAGTGGAGGGACATGTTCAAACGCGTAAGGGGGGAGACCGAAGGAGTCGTCCGCGCGTACCAGCTCGCTCTCCGCGTACCACTTTGAGCGAATTTTTCTCAGCGTAGAGGGGGTCAAATTGAGTGGGAGTTGTTGCAATGGCCTATCTAGAGGTCCCTATAATAGAATATGTAAAGATCCCCGCGACCTCAACTTTGGTGAGACACTGCCTTTAAGAATTCACCCACTCTGAAGCGAGATATGGCCTCGCTACGGTCGTTACATGACTCGGCGGCGGTGCGTCTTTTTTTTCAAAAAATAAGAGCGGTGTCGTATGTAGTGTCCCCGGTTGCCGACAACACCTGTGCGTGAAATGGCTGCTAAAGAGCGCAGATTCTCAAGCTTTACTCCTCATGACCATTATATGCGTGCAAACGTTGTCGCTAGCAAGTGTACCTATTAACCCCTAAATCTGAACTATACCTATAGGGTTTTCACGAACATCTTGGTTTTCTGTTTCACTTCCTTGTCCATACATATTATGTACTTGACCTCTTCATAATGCTCTCACGATGGACACAGGATTGCCAGTAATCAGCACCGGTTTGCCGAGTCGTGAAATATCGTTTAGTGAATACAATACGTGCGGTATTAGCCAATTGTCAATTTCATTTGGAACACTCTATGTAAAATGATAAGTTTAAATGAGATCGAAACCACAATTCTTCCCCCTTCATTTGTATTTCGTTGAGAACGGGTCCTTTTGAATCCGCGTTTCATTCCAAGGTTACTTCCAAATATTCCTCTTACTGAAAATCTTTTGCGAATTACCATCAAGTAGAATACGGATAAATCTGCTGTAGCCCTGACAGTAAAATTGTTTTTGACAAGAGAATGCTCATGTCTTTTTATTTGATTCCTCTCTCCAAGACTATTTCTAGGCAAATGTTGCCTACATTTCTTGTGCTCAAGTTGGCTAGGAGCCTCGATAAGCCATTGTCCAAGTGGCCGCTCATATGATTCATCTGTGTTTGAGAATGTTGACTTCATACTTCAGCTTATTGTTAGACCGTACTTTTTGTATTTGAGAACGCTGACTGGTTCTCTTAGCAGGGTATAATCTGGGTTGACTTTGGACAAGTATGACATACGTATAAGCTTTGCTTGGCCAGTGACTTAACCAGTAACTAAAGCCTTTCATATCCAAAGTACGAAATCCAAGTAACTGGATATGCTAGAACATGCCGTCAAAATTTTTTGTTCAGAATGTTCGTGAAAATTGCTTGATCTTTGAATCTAGAATACCAATTTCTCAGTAACTGTTCAGAGTAAATTTGAATTGCTCCAAAAATGACGCTGATTACGCACATGACGCCAGAAGCTCAAGAGAAGCTTATGGTGAAAGTACGCAACTGGCTGGCTTGGGATAAAGTTAGTTCTTACAGAATCAATTGCTTCTTCTCCAAATTTTCAAATTCTGATTTAGAATGAGAAAACACATGCAGAAATCAGTAAGCTAGCTGAAGAGAAGAATTATCCGGAGCTTGCTGTGAGAATGAATGGACGACTACTGTTTGGTACTGCAGGTAAGGACCTTGTAACTACACCTCAAAAGTCCAAGTCAAGGTGGCTAAATTCCTGTACTTGCCTAAGTTTTGAGCAAGTACATTTGACAGGATACCCCAATCACAGAAATGCCTCCATGGTTCCTCTATTTTTCCAAAAGATGAGTAACATTATTTAGTTACCGGCTGAAATACTGCTTAACTTATCAACAAAGTCTATTTTCAATTCTTGTTTTTTGCCTTTGCAAAAGTTTGCTTATTAATCGCTTATGAAAGGAGAAAGTAGTAATCATGAAAAAAGAAATCCCCAATGACAATATAAAACAAATTTTACAGGTATTCGAGCCCCTATGGGAGGCGGATTTGCTCGTCTGAGTGACTTGACGGTCATCACCGTCACCCATGGATTCGCCAGACATGTCCTTGAAGAGCTAAATGGCAAGACACCAACTGGGGTAGCCATCGGTTATGATGGAAGGCATAACAGCAAGAGGTGAGAATTTGAATCTAATTTGAGAACCGGGGTGGTGAGTTTCATAGTAAAATCTAAATTTCAAGAAAAACATGTAAAAAATTTACTGAAAGCACCCGCACTCGCTGTGCACTTTTATGTTCTTCACTTGTTAAACTCCGTCATTGCGTCATCGTCTGTACTCTAAAAGTTTAAGTCTAAAAGTACTCTCTCTCTCTTATAAACTTAGAAGTACTCCCTCTCATATCCCCACGCACTCGCACTGCACTCAAATAATTATCACATGAATTAATATAATCTATATCAGAAGTCAAAACTAAAAAAAAAATCAAAATCTAATCAATAGATTGATAGCTCTTACAAATTTTCAACTTTCTATTCAGATTTGCTGAACTTGCATCGAACGTCTTCATCTGCAATGGCATTCCGGTGTATCTTTTCAGCGCTGTGTGCCCGACCCCTGTCGTGGTAGGTTTGGTCTTACATACAATACCGCTCACAAGACGTACAAAATTTTCATGAAAGTCGCCGAATTCCGGGAATTTCGCGGGAGTCCGTGCCCGGAATTTCGCTGAATCACGCGAGTCACGCAAACTACGCAACTCCATAGTTCCTTTGGAATGATTATATTCCGAATTCGAATAGCATTGTGCTCAAGGGGTGTCGCGGACCTCCGCGAATTACCCAAAATTCCGCGACATGCACGGAAATTTTGGACGTCTTCTGAGCGGTAATGTATCTGAAGAAAATGTTCGCTCGATAATCCTCTAAAAATCCTATAAGTATTCGAATTGGCCGCTGAAAGAAAAAACGTAAAACTTTCAGCATTTCATACCTCCCACATAGCCTTTTAGAACTGAATTTCGATTCTGTCGCGGTTCTTTCCCATAATAAAAAAAGTCTAAAATATAATATGACACGTGTCTGCCTGCCATCTTCAGACAGCCGTCAGTCATTGTCTTTTCTTATGATGTGGTGTCGATTTTAGCGCCATTTGCGTAACTTTAGACAAGTTGGCACTGTCGCATAACTTATTTTACATATGGAAAGCAATAATGCAGAGTATAGTCTAGGCTGTCCTGCAACATTATGACGGATGAAAATTACCGTATTACATATCTGGGCCCACTCTGAGTGTTGGCAGATCTGCTAAAATACGCTCCTATTTGAAAAAAAGACGTACTCGCCCGATTTATGTGAAATCGCCGTAGCGTGGCCATATCTCGCTTCAGAATACGAATCCTTAATCCAAGGGCGTGTTCAAACAGGCACTTCTATATATCAGAAGATGCGCCGAGCCGAACTGAGTCGAATGGTCCCTTTGGATTAAGAATTCGTCCACTTTGGAGCAAGATATGGCCACGCTACGGTGATTTCACATGAATCGGGCGACTGTGCGTCCTTTTTTCAAAAATAGGGCGGTATTGTGTATTATTTGCACGAGAACGTAGTTAGATGGAGAACGAAATAAAAGCGCAGTGCACGTGGCACATTTTGCGCATACAGCAACAGTATGCTGGCATCTTAGCCAAGCATAAGAAAAGAGCTGGCGTGATTTGTGCCAGATGCGGTGTCGCAGCCAGAATATAGACTGTAACACATTGCCAGGGGGGGGGGTACGACATCTTACAGAACTTTGAAAAAGGCTATCTCTGTGGATTGGCTTAGTAGGTGATTGCAATTGCCTCGGATGTTCGCTTGAATTCCTTGCTGCACTATAGATCGTTTCACTCTTGAAGGCAGCTCGATAAAGTAGGTGCCTGACTTTTTCATATGTAAATTGAGTAGTGGTCCCATTTGCATAAACACCTAGGCAGCTCATATAAGGTTTGTGCCCCAGAGAGGTTCTCATAGGTACCATCAACGTGACTGCCTTCCGATCGCTCTAAAAAGTTAACTCCAGCACATTCTGACGCTTATTTGAAGTTGACATGCTGAAACGATTGAAAGGCAGCCAAGCTGATAGTACCTATGGAAACCTTTCTCGGGCACAAACGATAATCCAGACCATATCATTATATTTCTGCTATGAAGAGAATAGACAAGATGAGGCTTATGAAGCAATATCTGAATCAATACAAAAAATGATCATTTGGTCGCGAGAGTTTCATTTACCGGTTAACGCACGCAAAACCAAAGTTCTGCATCTTGGCAATCTCCAGCAGCGCACCTATCTATGTGATGGTGTTGAACTTGAGCTCTGCAGTCTGACCAAGTACCTAGGAGTTTTCATTGATGATCGGCTCAAGTTCACCACCCATTACGACTCTATCGCCAAGAAAGCTTTGTCAGTTCTTTTCATCATCTTCTCCTAGTCCGGCTCTATAAAACTTATATTTTGCCTCACCTAGAATATGCATCTCCTGTATGGAATCCCCACCTGAAGAAGAACATTGAAAAGCTAGAGAAAGTGCAAAGGACTTTCACCAGAATATTATTCTATAGATGTTATCCAAAACCTGACTACCCTCAGTCGTTACCCACCTACAGGGAAAGGCTTACAGCTTTGGGTCTGCATAGTCTTAAATACAGAAGGGTTTTTAATGATCTTATCTTCTGCTTCCGCATTTTGAAATTAGAAACAAGACTGAGACCTAGTAGATACTGGCTATTCAGACCGTGTGGTAGTCGGACGGGAGGTTTCGGTCTTTGCTATACGAAGTTACCATAGCCTTCAACTCCTTTGTATGCCGTACCGCAAGATGGTTCGATCTGCTACCAAGTGAAGTGATTTCATGCGATACATCGGCTAAATTCCGCAAAAAATTGGCCTCTAATAACATCTTGGATGCTCTAGGAATCCCTGATGTTCATTGAAACACGAGGTTTTTTTTCTTGAACGGAGTGTACCCTTGTATTCTTAGCGACTTTTCTTCTATGATGTTTTATTTCCCCTTTTGATGCGTAAAAATGAGCAGAAGTGCTTACTATCGTAATGTGCTTTTCAGTGGATTTTTGCTTCTTCTTTTTTTGACAGCACCGATGTAGAAGTCTCTTCGCGGGGATGAGGAAGGAGGAACTCCGAAGTCGGTGAACCCCCTACCTTGAGGTCCCCCCTGCCACTCGCCCAGGGTCTCGGACGGATTCGTCCGCCTCGAGTTAAGTCGGTCAGCCGAGCCCTGATTCTATGCCAGAAACTGCGTTTGGTTAAGGGAAAAGGATTTCGGTGGGGGACTATTCACCTTCTGAAGAAGGAAGACGACCTGATGACACCAGCAAGGGACTCTCTCAAACATTTGCTAAATTTTTGTTTTTTTCCTTTTTTTACGGTGCACCCTTGTATGTAAACAAATAAATAAATAAATAAATAAATAAATAAATATTTCGGATTCCCGAAAATGATTGGATAGCTCGAAAGTACTTAAGTGCACGAGCATTCATCTCGGTGTATTTTAGGGTGAACCCATGAGACAATTCGCCCTGAAACACTGGGCAGTGACTCATCCGAGGCCACAACATTGTCCATAGAGGCGAACGCCATTCTTGATCCGCTTGATCCGTCTGATCTACTTCATCCACTTCGCTGTCGGTTAGTCCCCCAAATTAACCAATAGCGAAGTGGATCAAGAGAATCAAGCGGATCAAGTATGGCGCATGCCTAAAAATTGTGCGGGTACGCAAGTTCGCGTGGACACTGCCATAGATAAGCTGGTTTAATTGGCATTAATTACATCGCGGAAACTAGTTTTCCGAAGATTGTGGGGATCACTTTTTTGTGTGAAATTACAGTCAACCGAAGTACTTTGGTAAATGGCATTGGCGCCGCGTCGAATGTGGTGATCAGAAATTATTTCTGTGAAATATTCGAAAAAACCCTTTGCGAAGTTTTTTTTGCGGAGATACTGCAAATTCAAATGAAAAAATGGATGACATATCCACCATGGATATTTGCACAGTACCTAATTTACTTTAGTCATGGGCCACGATCAAGCTGAAGTGCGACGCGGGACTGATCATAACTGCATCACATAACCCGAAAGAAGACAATGGTTACAAGGCTTACTGGAATAACGGAGCGCAGGTATTTTTATAAGAAGTCGCAGTTTGCGTCAATATCCTCTTCTTCTTACTCATCATGACTATCGTTGCAGATTATTGGACCTCATGACACAGAAATTATTCGAATCGCCGAAGCAGAACCAAAACCACGTGATGAATACTGGGATACCCATTCACTTTCAAGCAACCCGCTCTTGAAATCTGCTGATGTAACCATTGATCCTTACTTCGAAGTTGAGAAATGTCTCATCTATCACAAGTAAGGAAATTTTTTTGTTTCAACACCAAATTCTCTTTTTTTTTTGCCATGCACAGAATTCTTCGAAGTTTTCATCGACAGTTTTGAAGGAGATTTGAGTTTTCAGGAACCTTCAAGTCATACCTATATTTATACCGATATGAAATTTCTTCTTTTTCAGAGAAATCAACCAAAAAACCCCACTGAAGATTACCTACTCGGCATTCCATGGTGTTGGTTTCCATTATGCCAAACGTATGCTTCAGGAATTCGGTTTTCCCGTAGATCACTTCTTCTCAGTCAAGGTATAATAAAATTAGCAAGAGCTGAAGGAAAAGTGGTAACAGTCAAGCACTTCAGGAGCAACAAGAGCCGAATCCCGACTTCCCAACCGTTCCATTCCCCAATCCAGAAGAAGGCCACAAGGTGAGAGTTTAGCCCTAGTAACAATGTGTTTGATGGTAAAAACATCAAGGAAAACGAGAACTACCAAGGATACTTCAGCTGAGTAACGCATTTTCATATCTCGATAAATATTTTCCAGGTCCTAACCCTGTCCTTCAAAACCGCCGATGCCAATGGATCGACCTTTATCATTGCAAATGATCCAGATGCTGACAGGATCCAGATCGCTGAAAAACAGAAAAAGTGTGTCTCTACTTTCTTTTGGATTCTTCATGAATTGTGAAACATACTGCAAAATTTTTGAACTTAGAAACTTCAGCTCACAAAATGAGTTTTTTTTTTGTCCGTTACAGCAAAAAATCATTTCCGCGGAAGGAAGCAAAAAGTCTAGAAATCTTTTGTGACCATCACCAAAAATGTCCGTGAAAGTATGTTAATTAAATTGCCTTTCTAGTGGGCAATGGCGCGTATTCACAGGCAATGAGATGGGAGCTCTTCTGACATGGTGGGTTTGGACAAATTGGCACAAGGTAAATTTTTTAAATTAGCGCATGGTCTTTCCAGAACCTTCATAATTTTTAGGCCCATCCGAATGCCAATAAATCCGATGTCTATATGATCAACAGCGCTGTTTCGTCACAGATTGTGAGAACAATCGCTGATGCTGAAGGTATATACATATATCAATTTAATGAGACCCAAAGACAGCTAACTCGGAGTTTTTAGGGTTCAAGAATGAGCTGACTCTGACTGGTTTCAAATGGATGGGTAACAAAGCTGATGAACTACGCGCAAAGGGAAAGACTGTGATATTGGCTTGGGAGGAGAGCATCGGATACATGCCTGGACATACGTTAGACAAGGTGAGAGGGGTGGCATAGGAATAGGTCAAATTATCTGGGTCTTGTAACATCCTATACCGTAACCGCAAGTGAACTCGCATAGATTTGTCAGTTTTGAACTCCTCCAATTGATTAAAGTATATGCTTATTGACTTACTTTGCATAATTTCCTATTCTAGTTAGTATCATGAGGATAAACAAAATGTTGTAAATTGAAAAAAATCTCTAGGACGGAGTCAGCGCCGCCGGAATGTACGCTGAAATGGCAGCTTGGTTAGAAACGCAAGGAAAAACCATGCAGGATCAACTGTTCGAGATTTACCACAAGTGAGTCTGAACTTTCGATCTCGGAGTGAATTCGTGCGATTCACAATTGTCTCGCAAAGCCTGAAAAAATTAGTATCTATTCCTCTTTTAACCTTTGAACGATATCGATCTGCATTTAGATGTTTTTGCAAGATCACATCTCATATAATCTTTTTCAGATATGGTTTCCACATGGTACGCTCATCCTACTGGTATACACCAAGCCCTGATGTGACCAAAGAATTGTTTGCTTCACTAAGGAAAAACATGAAGGTAATTGAGCTTTGATTGTCAATTTTTGGTTTAGATGAAGCAAAGGCCATTCGTTGACTTTGGGCTCTAAAGTACACAACAAAACATACACGGGAGAGAAACTGCAAATTTATACATATTCTTTTTCCGAGAAAAATAGGATGTCACCAATGTTACTCGAAAGTCGCATATGATTCCTGCTGGTCTTAGATTGTCCACATAAATAATGTCTGGAATCAAGTGGCAATTTTAGATTTCATAGTTAAACAAATTCGGGAAATGACCACCAAAAACGGAATATGAGTGCGTTATTTTGTTCGCAGATTCGCTGAAAATTGCTATTTATTTAAAATCCTACCATTAGTATTTGCAACATTTGAGCGGTATATTTTGCATTCTCAAATGTGAGAAAATACGAAATAAATAAGATCCCTTGAAATGTGTTAGTCTTAAATTGTTCACTTACAAATTGTGACAGCATGCAAGAAATAAAGTATAGACCATAAAAACAAAATTTTAATGTTCTGTTCTTGGGCAAAGTCGCTATAAACTGCTGTTTCTATTGAAGTTCTACTCATCAGTAATTACAACGTTTTATTGAAATATATCACTTTTGATATCATCTTCAATATACTCTTCTTATTCCAGTACCCCGAGAAGATCGGACACAGTGCCGTGACTACCGTACGCGACCTTACTATTGGCTATGACAACTCAATGCCAGACAACAAACCAGTAAGTTTGCTTTTGTATTTTGATCATTGGTAGGGTTATTTGATCATTGGTAGGGTTATTTGTTTCACCCTAGGTGCTTCCTCTTTCCACCACATCCGAAATGATCACATTCAACTTGGCCAGTGGAAATGTTGCTACTTTGCGTGCATCGGGCACAGAGCCAAAAATCAAGTATTATATTGAACTTAAGACCGCCCCTGGAAAGAAGGAGAGGTACGAAATCTTTGCTCATATTTCAGATGGATCTGGGTATCCTAATTTACTACAAGGAAGCTGATTAGGAGGTCTTAACTAAGCCACTGCTCATGTGATGGAGAAACCCAATTTTAGAACCAACCTAAAACCGTAGGTACTACGGTACGCATGATCGCTGATTGCTTTGGAAAATGTCTGGACTAGAGTTTGGAGTCGGATTTTTGTTTCGAATAGAGCTGCCGCTTGGGCACGGCTTTGTTAAGGCCTTTCAACCGTAATCGCTCAAAAAGTTCATGTGTCCAGATTTTCCTGAGAACCTTCTTGAGCTAATTTTCAATATTTTCAGTGATCTCGCTGAGGTGACGAAAGAATTGGAACAGTTGGAAAAAGATGTAGTCGAGACGTTGCTACGACCAAAGCAGTTTGGTCTCATCCCCCGCAAATAAATATTTATCTTCAGTAGGAGTAGTTAGCTTTTAACATTATCGTAGTTTGAGAATAAAGTTAACATGCTTTTCTCACTCCTCTCGTTCCTCTCACTTGATGATTCCAAATCATTCGTTCTATATAACTCAATTGTGATTATTTTTGCATTTCTCCCTCAACGTGGCAAACTGGTTTCGCGACATAGACCATTATTCGTACGGTTCTACCGTGCAGTCCGATTGTTCACTTATCAACTTACATTTACTCATCTCACTTAGATGTTGCAGATTTGAATATCTGAGAATGTTGCTACGTTAATAAAGTAACAGAGCTTACGAATCAAGCGTTCAAAGTGTTATTCTTTGCGATCCTTTCTCTAGCAATCATGCACAATCGTCATCAAAAGAGCGACCGCTAAAAATATTTAGCAGACTATTCACCAAACCTTATCAACCTTACAAGAAGGGCACACACTGTATAGTATGAACTATTTTATTATAATTCTTACGTTCGATCGGTATGTCTTTTAAATCTGGACATGCGATGTGCCTCTGCTGCTGCTTGCTGCTCTGCACTTCAGCAATTAAAGGCACAAGCAATGTGGGTACCCACTCACAGGCAAATCTGGTACCCAACTTTACTATCTGGAGGATAAGTCCTTCATCGTGGGTTGAGCCTTTAACTTCGGTCGTTCAGTAATTGGTGCTCTCTGCTGCATCGGCGTAGAGGACGGTGTGACCACCCCTGCAGTATGAACGAGGACCGTACCCGCGCACTGATGGTAGGTGCGGATTACGTGCTGCTATGGCTTGCCACGATACATGGACAAAGTTTTTACTAAAGATCCTAAGTACCAGACTTATCTAACTTTGAACTACCTGCACTGAGCGATCCTCACTTGCTAACACTTGTGGCGCATAAAATGCGCCTCCTTTCTGCGGTTTTAATTCTTGAAGCCTTTTGCCGTGTGTGCGGTCTACCACACAGTCAATGCCTAACAGAGGTGCTCACTATTTAACTTAGTAAAGACATGAATGGAGATTTCCATAAAATGCATGAGTTCTATGCGGCCTAGAAGTATAAGCGCACAGCTGCTCCACCGAATATGTCAGGCGAAGACATATCAGAAAACCTCCAATCCGACTCGGCAGTTCTCCTTCACTGAAAGAAAGCTTGATAAAAGCTGTTCGCGGCATCGCGATCGGATTTGTCCCAGAAGTACGAGGAACTGCCGAGTTCGGTTTTACTGGTTTCCGCCTATTCGGCGATGATTACGGTACTCATTAGCGCACTGAATTGCCAGCACCTCTGCTTGGCACATTGCCAGCCAAACAGCTATATAAACCTGCGGCGCGGTGTATGTTAGCATTCGCTCAAAACCCAGTCTTCTTTGTCGTGTTTTACTTTGTTTGTGTATGGCTGATGAGCTCACGTCTTAGGGACGTAAAAGTTTACTTATGTTACCAATGTTACCCGTGTTACTATTGCTACTCGTGTTATTAGCGTTACTAGTGTTACTCGCGTTACCCGCTTTACCCGTGTGACCACTATTACTCGTGTTACTAGTGTTACTAGTGTTACTAGTCTTACTCGCGTTACTCGTGTTACCGGTGTTACCAGTGTTACCCATGTTACCAGTGTTATTATCTGCCCCAAGACGAAGGCGGTCGCCCAAATAGGTTGAAAGCATGCAAGGCTGCCGCGCGCGGGCAATTGTCAACTACAGGGCGCGCGCACGCTAGGTCAGCAGTCATCCACGCGAGCGTGCGCGCGACCCGTGGTTGACAATTGCCTGCGCGCCGCGTGCGCGTCAGCCTTACGTGCTCTCAACCTATTTGGGAGACCGCCTTCGTCATGGAGGAGATATTACTCGTGTTACTAGTGTTACTCGTGTTACTATGTTACTGGTGTTGCCGCTTTTATTGCTGAGTAGTGAAATGGCCATTATCAATCATCGTTATTATCATTAACTAGCTGGTGTACCCGTCCTTGCTTATCTATTGTGTGATAAGTCCTCACCATGTTGATACTGCTTAGGATAGAAAGAATTCAACAAAAAATGCTTCAAGCGTACCTCACGCTCTTCGAACCCTTTCCCTTCTCCTGTCACTCTTACTTTTTCGTATTGAGTAAACCTCCAATGAAGACTCTCTTATTGAGCGCAATTGGGTCACTGTGCAAGAGAAGTTAGGAATGTTTTGTGTCCATCTCTCTCGGGTCCGCTCGGCTAGCATGATTGTACGCGTGAGCATTGCGAAGATCAAATGGGTGTGACTGATTAGCTTATCCTATTCATAATGTTGAAAATACTCTCTGTCGTGCCTCGCTATCTGGTGGTTTCTGACCACTCAAGTCACATTGCTTTGTCGCGCATTCATGGAGGTCCAGCAATTGGAGCTGATTTATTGGGAAATCTTGTTCAAAAAGCTTGCAATCAAGTAAGTGTAGCCTAAATTTTCCTTTTGTAAGGTAACTTCTGCGATTTGTGAACATTTTCGCCTCTGTCCGATCCATAACAAAGAACATTGCTGCTTCGAAGCGCCCCTCATGTCTTGCACATGAGGTCAAAAAGTGAATTTGGTTTTGTTACTGTTTAATCAGTCATGAAGAGGCATGTGTGTAGACTCAGTGCTTCCCACTCGTACTGCGAAAAAAGTTACAATCTACAAACTGTCGGAAAGCCATGCACATCAAACGAAAATTTGTTATGTAAAGGAGAAGAACGTCGGCGTCTCCTACATCAGGCAACAGTTGGCATTGGCTAGGCACTCTTGCGGGGGCTCGGCGAGGTGTCCAGGGTGTGATGCAACTCCTTTGAGGAACGACTGACGAGGCGATCCAGACGATCGACGCGTCCACATCCTCTCAGCTTGGCTCCTCAATTTGACCGGACCGCACTACTCGTAACATGTTTTGTTCGTTTGTAAAGAACGCCAAGAGCGTATTAAATAAATAAATAAATAAATAAAACATCGACGGCAAAACTTCAATGAGCCAAACGCTTCATATACGGCCTGAGAAGATGTGCAGGCGTCCAATGACGTGGTCCCAACACGAATCAATCAAAACATAGTAAAAACCATTGAAACATCAACTTAACATACCAACCAACTAGAAATGGCTAGATAAGCAAAATAGAGAACAAAAGAGGTGCAAAGAAGCGGGCGACTTTACAGACACCATTCTTGCACAGATAGGAAAAACCGATGTTAGATGCACTTCTTTTCACGCGCTACTTTTCCACGAACTCAGAATGAGACATACCGCTGCGATTTACAGAAGCTCGAAGAAATGACTTTGTAACATTGATAAGGCCTTCATTTCCCTGAATTAGGTAAACAAATCAATAAATCGATAGAAGGGCATGCTGAATTGCCATAAAGGTAGCCTATGATGTGCGCCGGGTAGAAAACCTATGTATGCAAACTTTGGCGCTTACTGATTCACTCACAAGATTTTTATTTGGAACATACTTCATGCAAGCATGCTTGGTCACAAACTTTGAGTTTTATATATGTACCAGTGCTTCACCTCTGCTTCGCAGAGGCTCGCACTGGCTCCTCCATCTATATGCCTTCCTCTTGCTCGCATGATGTTCACAACACTATGCGATGCTGACCATCTTGAACGAATTGTAAACAACTACTCATTCCATGAGTAATCCATGTAAGAGCGGTAAATTGGGAAGAGAAAATTCTTACGTAGAATATTGAAAGAGAAATTTGGTCAGTTACTGAAGTTATTATTGACGGATAGTTTCTACAAAGGACGTTACTTTTGTCAAATCTTTGCAAATAATTAGCTGAAACCTTGACAAAGATGATCTACCAATCACTGCTTTTTGGCGCTGATTTGCGTAAAAATAAAAATTTTGCTCACTTTTTGGACTTAGGTCTATAATCTGCACATTTACTTGTTAAGCAAATCCACAACTTCGCAAAAAGTACAATCACTGACCCACACTAGTCGGCCAAAGTCGCGTGGATCCGTTTGACGCGCAGTTTTGGAATGTTCCAATTATCGGATCGGCTTGTACTTTTGCACTATTTACCTACATGCTGATAGGGTGCTATGACCAGAATTCAGCTCACGAACTTGGCTACAACACGCTTCATGAATTTCGTGACAGACAGATATACACATAGACAGACAAATAAACACGCTTAGTGCTTTATTATTAAGTAATGATAGTCACTACTCAACAGTAATGAAAGCGGTAACGCTAGTAACATTAGTAACACTAGTAACACGAGTGATACGAGTAACACGAGTAACACTAGTAACACGGGTAACACTGGTAACATCGATAAACTCTGACGAATTCCAAAGCTCGACCGCTTCACGTAAAAGAGACACTCCAAGGGATTCGTCAAAGTCCGATGTTACCAGTACTACAATGTCACTAGTGTTACTCGTGTTATCAGTGTTACTCGCGTTACTCGTGTTACCAGTGCTACTAGTGTTACCGCTTTTATTGCTGTTGAGTAGTGAAATTAGTAATAATAACGATGATTGATAATGATCATCTCACTACGCAACAGCAATAAAAGTGGTGGGACTTAACACTAGTAAGACAAGTGACACTAGTAACACATAAGGCCCCGGACAGACTTCACGCGATTTAATCGTCGCAACTGAATCGCGACGAGACAACTGTTACAGCATCATTCCATGCCGATCAACTTGCATTTCGGTTGTTATACTTTTCCTGCCCAAAATTTTTGAATGTGAAGTGAAAATGAATTGTCGGCGATTGAGTCGCGACGATCAAATCGCGTGCAGTCTGTCCGGGGCCTAACGCGGTAACGTGAATAACACTGGTATCAGCAGCAACACGAGTAACACGGGTAACATATGTAACATCGGTAAACTCTGATAGATCCCTTTCCACAATGAGATCCCGGTTGGATATTGAAATGAATTCAAACCAGATGGTAAGATCCAAGGCAAGAGAGCGGAGAGGCTGTCGTGCTGTGCCGTCTTTACATTGGGAATACGAAAAGGACCCATTCAATTGAAGCCTTGGGACAACGTGTGTAACATAAGTGAATGCGCACATCAGCCGCACGGGACAACACACCTCTTACCGTCTTATATTCTGTCTTAGCAGTAAATGAGCAATTTAGGAGTATAGTTCTTCTTGTTTCTTTGTTATCATTGAGATACATGCTACTAATTTCTGTAATCGTGCACTAGGCTAGGGTAGTAAACATGCGTTATAAGTATCGGGCGAACCATATCGAGAATAAAGAGGTACTCTGAGCGGAACCCATAATAGCAACAATAGCTGAAGGCTGTTAATTGATGGATTTTGATTAGCGCTGACTGAAAACTACCTCGCACTTGTAAGCGCTTGACAAGAGACTTTTGTGTAGAACAAGCGCTGCTTATATGCGGCAGCGAGAGACGGGGCAGCGCTAGGACTGACGTATTAAAACATTCTGCGCGGCGGCCGCGGACACTTTTGAAGAAGTCGCGCATGCTGACGCGATCAAGTAGGCTGCTGCTGCAATGGTTCGTGATTCATTCTTGGCGAAGGAACTCAACCCTACACTCCAACTGGGACAGTACATTGGACCCGAGGGGTATATTTCCACTCAGAAATATACAGTTGAGATTAGCGTGGAATTTAAGGAGAGGGAAATATCGCATGACGAAAACTAGTGGGCATCACCTGCGCATGCTTGAAAACGCCGCGCACGGAATTTTTCCTCCCTTATTGCTCGAGCAAAAGCCATCGCAGCGTGGTTGTGGAGCAAACAGTCAGTGTTGGTTCCGAGGAACATTTGGGAAGACATCTGCGGGCTACCCCCAGTAGCTATTTCACTTGCCTCCAGAAACCTCCCCAGATCTATTTTCCTTAGTTTCTCAAAAATTAAACTCCAGATATAGCCATTAAACCCCACCTATAACTCCAAACGAAACGCACTAAAGATTAGTTTCTAAAAAAAGGATTACAGCATCTACCAAAAATGACAGAGGCCCACTGGAGATCAGGCAGTCCCATATAAACAGTCGAAAGATCGTCCCTTTCTGGCAGCGTTCATAAAACCGCAAAATTACTACTCCTTACTACTAACATTAAACAATATTAGGTATTTGCAATATTAGCTTGTTGCATAAGTTCTGTCCGATTTGAATTTTTTGAGTTCAAAATGTCATAACTTCTTTCAAAGTCAACTTTTTTCCAAGATCTTAGTTTCCATTTGTTGAGAAATTCCTTGGCTATCAGATACATATTAGAACCTGCAAAAATTTCTGTTAGAGAAGAAGCAAAAACTTAAAAACTTCACTACGCTTTCCCTCAAACTTGTCTTTTTTGACATAGCAATGCTCCCTTATGAGAATTGAGGCATCTTATCTAACAATGGACAGATAGAGAAATTTTCGTAGATTATTTCGCAACATGAAAGAGCCCATAGGGTCTGCGTTGCCGAAAGATTTTTTTGACCGAACAAAAAATTAGTCACTTTTTGACCTCGCTTCAGAGCATGTGTGCATGCCTATTTATGAGTTAAGCTGGCTTACCCGGCTCCGCCGTATCCGGACCAAACTTGGCACACATACACTTCGGGCCCCGGCGGGTGTCACAGTCCATTTTTCGTTATCGATCGATGTCGATTTTACCGATTTCTATCGATTTTTTCGCAGAGTTCACCTACAGGGCTAGGAGTTGGCACAGGGGGGGGGGAAGTGAGCATGGGGATTCCGAATACAATATTAGTTTTCAGAATTATCGGTTACTTTTATTGATTTTATCGATTTTTTGTAGATTTTGACATGCGAGGCTGGGATTTTGCACAGGGGTGTAATCGAGCATGCTGATCACCCCCTTGGGGATGATCAGCATGCTCGATTACCCCCCTGTGCCAACTCCCAGCTCCCTAGCTCAAACTTTGCAAAAAATCGATAAAATCGATAAAAGTAATCGATAATCCCGAAAACCAATATTGTATTCGGAATCCCCATGCTCGATTACCCCCTGCGCGAACTCCCAGCCCCATACCTCAAACTTTGCAAAAAAATCGATAAAATCGATAAAAGTAATCGATAATCCTGAAAACCAATATTGTATTCGGAATCCCCATGCTCGATTACCCCCCTGTGCCAACTCCCAGCCCCGTAGGTGAACTCAGCAAAAAAATCGATAAAAATCGATAAAATCGATATCGATCGATGACGAAAAGTAGCCTATGACACCCGCCGGGGCCCAAAGTGTATGTGTGCCAAGTTTGGTCCGGATCGGTTCAGAAATGGAATTTTCTATTCGGAACATACGTACAGACAGACAGACATACAGACAAACAGACATTCAGCTTTATATATAAGATGAAAATTTTACAGTTGACGTGAGCGCCAAAAAGGAATTGGTGGATGGGCCCTGCTAGCTCTTTCTTTACCCTAGCACCTCCAACTTTGAAGTCGTCGATTACTTCTAATTGCAGAAAGTTATAGCTTGTAAAACATCTATACAGAAAATTAATGTTTGACAATAAATTTTACTAGCAAGACGTTTTCTTCATAAAACTGAAGTTATGCGTATGCTAGCCTATTACACCCTTATTCCGCAACCAATTGAAAAACTTGACCTTAAGGGCGCACTGTGGAGATTTTCTCGCAAGAACATATTTCTAGGGTGAGAACGTACCTCGGCCACTTGAAGATTTTAGGTGAAATCTCCTTACACTAAGAAATTTATTGAAATTTGATATGCTTTAGAAAGCGCAAGAAAAGCATCTTCTAATAATACTAATAATACCGCATTAGAGACGAAATCTCTTAGAACAGCTGCTTCAGACATGAGGCAAAAAAAAATCGGACTTATGCAACAACCTAATATATGGAACTGCTTAAAGAACGATTTAGCCGCAGATATAAGTAGAATGTAAATTCTTTACGTTAACTCCATCGAGAGGTCCTTCTTTGAGGCAGTGCAATTCCTCCAAGGTGGTGCTGGTTTGAGATTGCATCCGTAGTGTTCTATCGAAAGAATAACTGAATGCGAAAAGCAAAAAAACGGCGTAAAAACATGAAAACGTTGAAGAAACACGTGTTTATGGCAGTGTCCGGGAAAAACTCGAATTCTAGAAATTCGCCACTTACCGGGAATTATCCGCAACGCTGAATCCGAAAATCCACATTAGAAGGCGCGAAAACGGCGAGATACGTTTTGCAAAACCGAACAATTTGAAATTCGACGGCCAAGGCAGAGACGCAGAGTCTCTCCAGGACCCTACATTTTAACTGTGGCGACGTACTCTGGGGTAGGGGAAGAAAGTCGCCAGCTTCGGTCGCCCGCGCGAACTGCTGATCCTGGAACAACATGCAACAACGTTGCGAAAGGACCGTTAGCCGCGAAAGGCGGCTCAAACTGGCGGCTTTCGTTCCCCTACCCCGTACTCTGCCGCACAGCAGGAATTCGGACAGCTTGGAGGACCCGCCCAAGGCGTAAGTTTCCCCACTTTCCGATCATTTTTCTTGTTATAGGTCGAACGTTATGGGTTGTTTCATACTGCCGCACTGACTGCAGCAGTCTGCTGCAGTCAGTGCGGCAGTCTGAAACAACCCTATGACGTCGCACTTACGCGATGTTTTGTTTGAGGGGGGGGGCACTCTTGCATGGCAATGAAATCCCAAAACCCACATCTTTCCCGGAGACTGCCTTTAAAAACTCGAAGCGAGCTTGAAAAAAGAACAGCTTATTTCTCGAAAATGCATATCAGCTAAACGGCTATGGCTCTCATTTTTCCGGAGATCCCGGATGCTCAGGTTACCCGGCGTTCTGGAAATATGGGAAATTGCCATGGAACTTACTCAATTCCCCGGAGACCTCGACTTTTGTGACCTCACGTCGAGCGGACCGCCCACGATCTGCCTTATCTGGCAGCTCCAATACGGTCTCTTCCGCAGTACTTGTAACAAAACGATGCGAAAAGTCCGAAAGCCAGCGATTCCGCAGCACTTTGACTTGCCAGTACTTTTGCGGGTTTTTGAATGTGTTGTCTTTTACGATGTCGTCTCGCCAATAACAAGAGTGTGCACTTTCAAACATGCCATCCGTAGTGCAGAGGATACCGAGGCGCGCAGTCAGTAAAGCAAGGTTCGGATCCCATTTAGGCGTTTTCTTACCGTTGTGCATTCTTCGGAACTTCCACAGCATGTGCACGAAACTTCCGCAGGTGACTCGGCGGAGCTTTCCAAAAGTCCTGCGGGTGTTCCCATCAGTTCTGAGTAGTTAAACGTTTGATGCCCATAAAATTTTCAGTTTTTAGCGGTGGAGTCCGGAGGATTGCCTGAGTACAAACTTGATTAGTATCCACAGAAAAAGCCAAATACCTGATTTTTCTCGAAATGCCTCGGGTGCTGCTCGAATAACTAATGTCTTAAATGGGGTATCTTGTAGTCAGCAAGGTGTTGATACCGATCAAGCAGCACATAGCCAATGATCGCTCCACATAAAATGTTAATATAGTAGATGGTTTAGATAAGTCAACAAAATTGTCAACAATAGAAGCTCAACATGGCAGAAATGTCGGACAATGACAAGCAGCAACTTTTGAAAAAGGCGGAAGATTGGATAGCTTGGGATAAGGTAACATTGAAATAATCCCAGCTCTACAATGGCTGAGCACATGCGTTTCGTAGGATGAGAAGACCCGTAATGTAATTGCCAAATTTTATGAAGAAAAGAACTACAAAGAATTGGCAGTTCGTCTAAATGGAAGACTACTATTCGGTACAGCGGGTAAGCCCTAGAGAGGATGTGAAGCCACGATGACGTCGATAGCGTTTTAAGGGATCAGAATACGTATGGATGCTGGATGGACTCGACTAAATGATATGACCGTAATTGGAGTTACTCATGGTTTTGCAAAGTACATTCTAAAATCGATCGGTGACAAGAAGCCAACCGGAATAGCTGTCGGCTACGATGGCAGACGTAATAGTGAAAGTTATGTTCATAATTATAATGTGCTAGAGGCAAACCACCAAATTTTTCGTTTGCTATGACAACGAACTGGAAAGATCAGTTTCATCTCATACTTTCTAATTTCCTTTTTAGATATTCGAAGCTGGTTGCCAATGTTTTCATCAAAAATGGTTTTCCAGTATATCTCTTCAGCGCAGTATGTCCAACTCCTGTAGTGGTCAGTCGTCTTTTTTTTTGTCAACATTCCATGAAATAAGCCACAATTGAGTAGGGACTTTTGATCTTGAGGAACTAGTACATTTATACAGAAATGCTAGTTCAGCATTCTGCAAATCGAGCAATAAAAGTAATGGCCGATTTGTGAATTCTCGCGTTGACGTGCTATAACTTTTTGAGAGATTCACATTTCCGAATGCGATAACGATCATCAGAAGCAGCAAACCTTTTGCAATACAGCGCACATTTACTTATATTTATATCACAAACGGGCACAAAAATATGGTTAAAAAAACAGAAAGGGTTCTCCTGTTAGGACCTTGTCTTTGACAATTCATAACTTCCTTCATGCTTGTTAGTATGGATGATAAGTGACCTATCATGTAGCCGCAAGCCAGTAGTACAAAATGCATTCTGAAGAATTCGGACAAAAGAGTTTGCGAAAAAGAAAAAAAATTATTTAAAATTTCTCAGTTTTTTCAATAATTTTTCAGTGTGCCTCAAACTCGCAAATATAGACGATTTCAAGAGCAGTGAGCAGTTGGATGTTTTTGCAAAAACTGCCCGTAGGATGCGCTAGCATTACGCTTACATAACTGAACAAAGTTTTGTTGAATGACTTCTTCAAAAAAAAAATTTTTTTTATCTTATATATAAAGCTGAATGTCTGTTTGTCTGTATGTATGTCTGTCTGTCTGTCTCTACATATGTTCCGAATAGAAAATTCCATTTCTGAACCGATCCGGACCAAACTTGGCACACATACACTTCGCGCCCCGGTGGGTGTCATAGGCTACTTTTCGTCATCGATCAATATCGATTTTACCGATTTTTTGCAAAATTTGAGCTACAGGGCTGGGAGTTGGCACGGGGGGTAATCGAGCATGCTGATCACCCCCACGGGGGTGATCAGCATGCTCGATTACACCCCTCTGCCAAATTCCAACCCCGAAGCTCAAATTTTGCAAAAAATCGATAAAATCGACATCGATCGATAACGAAAAATGGACTGTGACACCCGCCGGGGCCCGAAGTGTATGTGTGCCAAGTTTGGTCCGGATCGGTTGAGAAATGGAATTTTCTATTCGGAACATACGGCGGAGCCGGGTAAGCCAGCTAGTGGATCACAAAATGACCGCAACGTCTACCGATGTTGAGAATCCGATATCTCAGTTTGGATAATTGCAAAAGACACAGTTGAGTAGGCATGATGTAGACAATTCCTAGCATACAATAGCTAAATTTTCGAAATAGCGCCATCCATAGGCACTCGGATTCTGGCCAGAAACAAAATTCCAAATTTGGATGCTGTTATTTGTAGCTCAGTAACTTTATAACAGATGAGAGTGAAAGCCCGCTTCAACCAGCATTAGCTGCATGAAAGCAGCTTCTCAGTGGTATGCTACAACTGTCCCAAAGGAGAAATTTTGATGGAAAAAATTGGCCTGAAAAAAGGCTTGCAAAATCGGCCATTACTTTTGCATCAACCTAATAAACTGTGTTTATATGCGAGAAAAATGTTATTAATCGAGACACACACTGCCATTCACATAGGTTTTTACATCATATTCTAGTCATACGCAGTCATAAAGCTTGGATGTGATGGTGGCGTTATGGTCACTGCCTCGCATAATCCAAAAGAAGACAATGGTTATAAGGCTTATTGGAGCAATGGAGCACAGGCAAGTCGTTATCAGGCTTCTGTAACCTTTGAAACTAGAAAAGACATAAGGGTGTCTCAAACATGCTCCTAATTTTTGAAAATGGATAGATCTCTTGTTTAACCTTTTGAGCGTCATATTGAAGTGCTAGCTGCAATTTAGATTCAAAGTCCCAAGCGAATCATCGACCCCTTACTGGTGGGCTTACGGTAGAATTTTACAACTCGTCTGTAAGACCGTGACCAACAAATAATGCTTATTGTTAGAACCACAATCATAAAAAGCCGAGAAAGATCACACGAAGGCAGGTAAATGGAGATTCCGTGATAAAATTCAACATCCCCAAAGGAAGGGTGGATGACTATATGTCGCCGAATGTAGAAGAGTCCCGCGCGGATTTCCTACATGTCCGCATATATTAGCTTGTAACCGAAAGTTGTTTCGCACCAAATTCAAAAATTCATAACTTGTTGAATTCTCAACGAATTTACAAGATCTAAACTTTGTATAGGAGAGAAACTCATGCTCTTCGCATCAGTACCTGAATTGTTCGTTAATATTTATAAATGAAGGAGACAGGGCTAAAAACCAAAATCAGTCAAAATTTGAATTTTTCGTGTAGGGTCATAAAAAATCGGTTATTTGCAACAAAAATCGGAGCAGTCGGTATTGTAGGTTCTTTCACCAGCTCTTTCTAACGGTGCAAAACTTGCGCCGATTAAGCGTCTCTATGAAAAGTTACGATTTTCGAGCAAGCAATACAAAAGGGGGAATTTGAATTATTTTGGCATTTTTTCAGGGAAATCGTAACTTTCCATAGAAACGCTCAATCGGCGCGAACTTTGTACCGTCAGAAAGAGCTGGTGAAAGAACTTACAATACCGACTGCTCCGATTTTTGTTGCATGTTTCCGATTTTTTATGACCCTGCACAAATTCAAATTTTGACTGATTTTGGTTTTTAGCTTCTCTCTCCTTCATTTGTAAACATTAACGAACCGTTCAGGTACATGTGCAAAGAGCATGAGTTCTTCTTTTATATAAAATTTAGATCTTATAAATTTGTTGGGAATTCAATAAGTTATGAATTTTTGAATTTGGTGCGAAAGAACTTTCGGTACAACCTAATACAAGGGTGAATATTTGCAAATGACCGCGGGGACCCCCTTTTTCGGGGACATACAGTCCTCTACCCCCATCTCTTCCAGATTTTCGTGAGGGTGAATTCAAGTGTCAATGAAAGCCACAGATAGTCAAATCCTACCGTAATCCCAAAATGATAGTGTTTTGCTCTATACGGTGTATCTGAGCCCTTTATGCCTTGGGAACAAATTATTCATATTAAGACAAAGAAGTTCATTTTCAAAGTAGAATATTTTTTGGGACACCACAACTTGAAAAGGCAGAAACGCTTCTTTCTCGTCTAAACGACGGATATAAAGATTTCATCTTCCAGGTCATTGAACCCCATGATATGAACATTATCGAAACTTTCGAAGCCGATCGAAAGCCACGAGACGAATACTGGGACATTTCGGGCTTGGCGTCAAATCCCATGCTAAAATCAGCCGATGTGGTCATCGAGCCATATTTCGAGGGTGAAAAGAAGTTGATATTTTATAAGTCAGTTTATCAGTTCTAAAAATACTTACCACTGTCAAAACTGTATCAATAATTTCCAGAGATCTGAACGAAAAGACCAAGCTCAAAATAACTTACTCAGCATTTCACGGCGTTGGTTATCTATATGCGAAGCGAATGTACTTCCAATTCGGGTTTCCTCAAAATACATTCTTTTCAGTTAAGGTGGGATTAATAGATTATGTTCTAGACATTCTATGAGCGCAAATCTGCTTTTCTTTCTAGGAGCAGCAAGATCCAGACCCAGAATTTACAACTCTGAAGTTCCCAAATCCTGAAGAGGGTCACAAGGTGAGAGCGCTTGTGACTTCGAATTTTGGCGAACTCGAATCATGTGCCACCTCTAGGTGCTAACCTTGTCATTCAAAACCGCAGATGAACATGGATCAACGTTCATAATCGCGAATGATCCAGATGCTGATCGAATCCAAATCGCTGAGAAGCAAAAAGAGTATGTCGCTAAAAATATTATTTGTATCCAAGTGATTACCGAGGAATGCAAAAGAGAAGGTTACCAAAAGAGTAGTCTTGATTTCATAACTACTCAGACCAATCTAGTTAGGAGCAGTCTTCTAGTAAATAGATTTTACCACACAGGATTACATTCGGCCCCTGCATCCAATAACTCTAAGGTTTTCAAGAAGTCTATAGTGTGTGTCAACACAAGAGAATTTCAGCGGTCAATGGCGTGTCTTCTCTGGAAATGAGATGGGAGCCCTCATGACATGGTGGATTTGGATGAATTGGACCAAGGTACTCAGGCTAGTCTGTCAAAAAAATGACAATGAATTCATCAGCTTTTGAACATTTTGATGATGAAGCGTAGAATGATCATGAACGAAAATTTGTTCCTTGTATTGGCGAAAATATTAGGTTCGCTAATATTAGGTTCGAAACTAAGTTTTGCAACTGGTCTCATAACTTCCCTCTCACTCAACATGGCGCTTTTAAATTTTGCCACTGCGTTGGTTATCACGTAGGCTACAAGCTCAGCTGCTGTCCTACCAAATTCTGACGTCGCAGTGAGCGTTACGGTAGGTGCATGGTATGAAGGGGAAAAATTCAAAATTTGACAGATTTGGCTGAAACTTGGCATAGGGGTGTTATCCGCATGCTGATCACGAAAACGGTAGTGAAATCGCGTGATAAGGGCTTTTTTGTAGGATTACTGTAGGTGTACGATATGAGGTCTCACCCTAAACAAGGAAAAAGGCGTTGATTCAACAAATGAATGTGATATTCGCGTTTGGCAGGTCAAATAACCTTATATGTAAAGTCTCGACGGAATTTGAGCTTCGGACTCTTTAGCCATTGACGGTCGGCCCCAGCAGCTCTTGCGTACATCGACTCGTTCGAATTTATGAGGACGCCAAATCCCGACATGCCCCTAAATTTTATTTCTTTCTTAATAGGCCAAAGGAGTCAACCTCCAGCAATAATTTGTAGACGAATCCGGATTACTGCGCATGGTCTAGGCTGCCAAAGGCTTCATTTTAGCTTGAAACCCCGAAAATTCTCAATCAGTAGTTTTCGAAAAAGCTTTTCTATTTTGTGTTCAAAATTTAGACAATTTGCGCTCGCTTGTAGCTCACATTGCCTTCTATATAATGCCAAAGTTTGAGTGCGCCATATCCAAAGAGAGTGAAGTTATGAAACCAGTTGCAAAACTTAGTTTCCAACCTAATAAATAATTTCGGTCAATTTTGCGGCTCCTACAATGCTGGAGATGTATTTTCAATGTTTTTCTGTGGAAAGCATATCTAAATGAGTATCAGAATATAAGTATTCAAAATTTACCTCCCTATGTAAAAAAGCGCAAAACAGTGAGAAACCCCAAATCTCTCCTTGTGGGCGAACTGAGAAAACCTAGTTTTTTTTTTCAAAAAATCAAAATGGCAAATCAATCAAAAATTTTTTTTTGTTCGCTTAATAGAGAAAACTTGGGTGTATCAAACACCAAATTACTCATCTTTACATCCATCACATTATGGAAACGAAGTCGAATTCATAGAATTGAGCTTTGGAAAACTTGCTCATATTGGAGCATGATTGTCCTTCAGTGACAGAAGAAAGTTCTGAGCGATTGATGTATGATAGTAAAACTTCGAACTACTTCCCCTCAAAAAATCATACGTACGAAGCAACAAGAAATTCTTTATGATGATTTGTATGAAACAACAAAATTATTTTTCTGTTAACCTAATACCATGTGCCCTTCACGTTAACTACTTTTGGCTCAAGGTTTTTTAACGTATTGAAATATTATCAAGAAAGTTTTACATCATCAAAAAGCTCTTTCTATATTCATTTGCAATGTAACTTTTTGTACAAACAAAATGTATCGGATGCAAACTCATTATTTGTGTATTACATTTTTCAAAGCCTTTTTTGCCCTTTGACGGATTAATCGAAACAAAGTTTGCAAGCACCTGGAAAATTTTTTGCTCTCACTGATAAATTTCCTATTTCAAGAAGGATAAATCAGAATTCAGCTGGTTCTCTGATTTTTTAAACGTTTTCAGCACCACCCAAATGCAGACAAGTCGAACGTCTATATCATCAACAGTGCCGTATCTTCACAAATCGTCAGAACTATGGCAGATGCTGAAGGTGCTAATTCTGAGCATTTGCCATGATTTTATTATTATATCCAAGGGTTCAAAAATGAGCTTACGTTGACTGGATTCAAATGGATGGGCAATAAAACAGCCGAGCTTCGCGCTAAAGGAAAAACTGTGATTTTGGCATGGGAAGAGAGTATTGGCTACATGCCCGGAAACTCTCTAGATAAGGTAAACTCTAACTTTGGACGATAGAAGTGATTTTTCGATTATAACTCATACCATGAAGCTGAAGTCATATAAGTTAAGAAAGCATTGGTGAAGCTTAGCATGGATTAAAAAAATCCTATCTTCGATTCTCAGAAATAATTTTATGAGTTTTAGCGATAATGTTCATTTTTTGGTGAAAATGTTGATAAATTTTGGCAGCGACAAAGATTCAATTTATAAATTTATATTATATTCGTGAAATGACGACAAATTTTTCATACCGACCGTTGATTCGATATAAACGCAGTCTAGCTCTATTACTCCTTAGCAGTGGCGGTGGCAGGATTTGCGTCGGGGGGAGGGGGGGGGGGGAGAACAAAAATTTTTCCGAAGTGCATAGCTGCGGGCGCATGTGGTCCTATGACGCCAAGATTTTAGAAAAAGTGGGCTTGACGGCATCCATGCCCCCGAAAAAAGTTTTTTACAAGGCTATAGATTTCCAAAATTTTAAAATCAATTATTCTCAAGTATAACCAACTAATTTGCACAGTTTTATAGCTCACGTGAGTACCTTCGAATATTTTATGAGCCATTATCGAGAGGGGGGGGGGGGGCTCCCTCGGGGCGCCGCTGCCCCTTAGCATTAAAAAAAATGAAGTTATAAAGCTGAACATATTTCAGGATGGAATCAACTGTACTGGAGTGTATGCTGAGATGGCTAATTGGTTACATGGTCAAGGACGAACAGTCTTGGACCAACTTTATGCGATCTACAACAAGTAAGCCAGAGCTTTATTCAAGAAATCCAAAATGTTGGAGTATAAAGATAAATCTTAAATGCGAGATGTAAAACATTCATTTGTAATCACCACATCATTTTCAAAAGCATTGACTTCTTCTTCACATTATAGTGTTTAGGTACGGATTTCATATGATTCGATCCTCATACTGGTTCACACCAAGCAAGGACACTACGAAAAAGTTGTTCGACTCATTACGCAAAGATAAAAAGGTGAGGTACTGAATCGATGACTGTAATAATCCACGTGGTGAGCAGAAAACATTTTTGTATTGAGAATAAACGGGGGTCAGCAATTAGAATCACACTCCAAATTGATGACAGTAAAAAACGAAACTGGGACTGGAAAATTCTAAGATATTTCCATGAAGCACGCCTAAAAGATGAATCTTTTCCTTCTTCGCATTTTCGTTATAACTGAGAAGAAGACAGAGGCTTCTTTTGAGGATAACAACTGAAGTTGCACATTAGTTGAAGTGGAAGGGTCATTCGAACAATAATTGCTGAAAGCTACAAAAAAGCTCACGTACAAAAGATAAACTCTTGCTACCCATCGTTTCTTTATTGATATTAAAGAAGAAAAAAGTAGAAATTTTACGCAAAGTAAGGAAAAGAGGGGTCGAGAAGTGAAGCCAGAAGTTGACGAAAAAGAAATTTTTCACGAGAATTTTGGAAAGAGTTGTAAAACAGTGCAAGTGCTTGGTTTTTGCGTGGAGAAGATTAGTATTCTCTCCAGTTTCACCAAAACTCAAATGAGCTTTCTATCGCCCTCACCTTATATCGCCCTTAGAAATTACTGCATCCTTCTTGCACCATAGTTTCTGGGATTTCGCCTTTTACCCAGCTTCGTTAATATCTTCTGATTTGATATACAACAGGAGAAAATCTTGCTTTTTTTGCATGCGCGTGAGCCGAATTTCTTTTTGAAACCCAAAAGGGGTTTTCCGAATTATAGCTAAAACTGCTGATTGGTTTTGATTGTTTTGTCTAAATTGGTTTTATGGCCTACTGTTTATAATGAAATAAAAAAGACTGGTGAAGATAGGAAGTTTCACGAAAATTCATGAATTTCGATTCTTTTGAATTCGATTTATGATTTCGTTTCAAGATTAATTCTAAAATGATTTATAAAATACTACCCGAATTACATAGCAAAGAGCATGGTGCGTAGATTGATTAACTTGAGCAAGCTTCTTGAAACGACATTTCCCAGAAATTTTCAAGCTTTCATCCAATGTCCCGAACTAGAATTCGCTCTTGCAACGACCATTCGGTCGTTTTGCAAAAATTGGCAGGGAGGCGAGGTGCCCACCACCGTTTGTCCTGATGTGGGACTTGGAGCTGCTGGCCTAGCGTTAGTGCCTACCTCAGATGGAAGAGAGAAGTCACCTACTAGACCGCCAACTCACACTCCACGCCGTTCCCTGAGAGGGGTGGACGATAGCAGTTTGTTGACGGGGAGTAAGCCCAGCTCAAAGCAGCGCCGTAGACTTCAGAGGCTGTTGTTGAACGTCTCTCTCCAGCAAACAAGCTTTTGACAGCCCGACGGTGTCCGCGCGGAAGCCCAGCGGCGTAAACAACCAATAAACTAGTTATTTATAGGGGTTGTATGCGCTCCGATGCTTAAAAAGCGCTCTTTTTGACAGTTTTCACTCATTTTCTGCAAGACCACCAGTATGAAATTCATTACAGTATCCCGAAAAAGTCGGTGGTGTAGCCGTGAAGAGCGTTCGCGATCTTACTATAGGCTATGATAACTCGCAACCTGATAACAAGCCAGTGAGTTTATTAATGAATTTGACTGTGAATATTTTTAGCCATCCCCCCTCAAAGCTGTATTATTTCAGACTTTACCTCTTTCTACGACTTCCGAGATGATAACATTCTTCCTGGTCAATGGTAACGTAGCCACGGTCCGTGCTTCTGGAACCGAGCCAAAAATCAAGTACTACATCGAACTCAAAACAGCTCCTGGAAAGACAGAAAAGTAAGTTCTAATCCGTCCTCTTTTTTTTGCTCTTCCCTTCAGTATTTTCTGAATAACTCGTAATCTAGTGACCTCGCCGAAGTAACGAAAGAACTCGACCAACTCGAAAAGGATGTGGTCGACTCTTTACTACGACCACAAGAATTTGGCCTGACAGCCCGGAAGTAGTAACGAAATATTCTGCCTCAAGTCCACAAATACTCACAGTCCCATGCTTGCCGTGCTTTTAACCACTGAGCTTTTTTTCACTTACTGGTCTCTTGTACTAACCACTCAATAGTTAATTAGAACGATAAATGAATTGAAATCATACCTAAATTTTTGAATGACTCGTCCTTTTTCGACAAATAATTTTACTGAATTTTAAATTTTTACTAGAGCACCGCTCGAGGTAACTGGATACCGCTCGGGGTAGAATAAATAAGTCAATCGTGATCAAATCTCAGTTATAAGTCAATTTTCAAATTTTCTCGTTCGATGTAGTCTATTGTAACTCGATTTGTCAGCGATGATCTACTGGAAGCAATATAACTGATTTTCAGACGTGAATAGCAGTGCTCGTAGGGATCACAAACTGACAAATTTAGAAGAAGAGAGCTTTCAGATAATCAAGCATACTATGACAGTTACTTCTTAATAAGTAGTTTCGAAGGACGCAATCACACTTCTCTCGGCAATCCTTCCGGCCGACTTCAGATAACGCGCAAAAAATTTTTATCGCAGTAGACGCATCCAAATTGAAGCTAAACTACCATGGTCTGTCCATACTTTTGGGATGTGCAAATTATTTACAGCACTCTTTTATGGTGGCTTGCCTTGTGCAGAAGTACAGTAATTAGCCTAGTAAACGAAAGACCATAAATCATAGAGAGTAGAGCCAGTGGAGTGGAATTCGATCTTATGGATACAAGTCGTGAACTAAAACTTGTGAGAAAAAAAATTTCCGCGGATTTTCAGTTACAAAAATTTGGGAGACATTTGGAAAACTTCTTCGAACATGGGCGCACACTCTTCTCAAAAAAGACTTTTGGGACACCACTGCTCATGCTGCCACATTTGCTACTTAATTCCCATGCAGGTTGCTTATTAGATGACCCGTCTCCTCATATGATAAACACCGCAATTTCCAACCCCGCTTTATGTTTCGAACGATTGTTACTGTCGTGTTTGGATACCTTTTTAAATTTTGGATCTTCTACAAAAAAGCTTGCTCAGAAGTGCAAGTAACCTCAACTTCGTCACCAATACCTCTTTCTGCCAGTTTCAAAGTTGTCGAATGCTGAAACACAGAAGGCAAAGTTGAATTTTGAACTAATCCGAGTAGTCTTGCAGCAGTCAATTGCTCCATAGAGAGCAGGCTTATTGCGCCACGTATATTTAGCGCAGCGTCGTAAAAGCAAATCATGGCAGTATGGTCTATGAAGCACTATTTTGAGCTCAGCACATTTACAAAATGAGCTATGAATAATCAATAGATCCGTTGATCCAACCAAGCAAACGAATGTTCCGTAATAATCGGATTGTATGACGGGTTGTTTCAAAGTTTAGATATAAACTCTCGTTCCATATTGGGAATTTTCCACCACCACTTAGGACTTACATTCGCAAACGATGTTTATTAGTCAGAACAAGTCAATGTAAAAAATGATCAACATTATCGAAGATTCGTGCACTGCACAAAAATACACTTGCAGACCCTTAGATGAACACAATAATAAGTTACTATTTGAACACTGCGATGTTATCACAGATAATCACATGCAAAGAGAAGCTCGTCACCAATATTTACAATAGAGATAACCTAAAAAGATGCTGATCAATTTGACGATCAAATGCTAGACTGATAACTTGGGAAGATGAGACTGATTCTTTGAATCGTTGTTATTAACAATTAAAACCATCACTAAAACAACAAACAACGCGACTTGAAGTTATTATGTGTGTTCATTCAGATCTGCATTTTCTTGAAGATTTCTGATAGTGCCGCGTATGTTCCCGTGGTGAAACCAAGCAAAGCAAAGCAAAGTAAGAAGATATTCTTGACCCATATTCGTGAACTTAGCTCTCCTTTAGCGTGGCTTGTCTAAAAATAGATCTTGCTAATAAAATTACGAGCCAAACCAAAGGGTCCACAAACGTAGAGTGGAAATACTATTCAATGAAAGGTAAGGCGGTTAACAAATGTCAAAAAAAACTGAGCAATCTAGTAACGTGAATCAATACGACTCTGAAGAGAGGAAAGTAACCAAAGAGAATCATTATAAAGAAAAGTTTACCAATAATTCTATGCATGGAGGGAATAACAGTGCCATTGAGGCTCCAGAGAAAGCACCAATCAGTGATATGAAAAGGGCAAGATGAGGAATCAGCTCTGCAACGGCGCCTGGAAAGAACGGTTTTTGAAGACCAGAAAAATCAAAAAATGATATCTCACAAGTCAAAAGTACGCCCATATATCTGGTAGTGTAGATATACAACGTTTGCTTGTGAACTGGAATTTTCCGCGTGATCCATTTCTCTGCTCGCTCCATGGGTACGTAAAATTGAAGCGGATACGAGATCATTATGCAAGCAACAAACATCATCTTGATCGTTTGGTAGAATCTTAAGAAGCATATGATTGCTATGGAGAAGAGAAGGGGGGGGGGGGGAGGGAGCAGCGGCGAACTTACGGAGTCATCGGAAGGTTGAGAGTTGCCGTATCCTTCACTTCATCTCCGAGAGAAAGATAACTGAAACAATAGAATAAAATGGAAAGAAGTACAAGTTGAGAAGATAGGATAGGCGCAAGGAATGGTGAGTTGCTACAAACATATTGCTTATTTCCTAAAATAAGCCGCTTGATCGTTGCGCAATTTAAATGTATAAGAGAAAAATTTGAATAGAGAAAATAAAACGAACACAAAACAGACGTTGCAATTCAAGAAACCAAAATTCAAATGAAAGGAATAAGATGGATACAAAACAGAGCTAATATTTCAAAGCCAAATTGAAGCTGTGATAGAAAAGCGCCAGAGAAAATGAAGTCCGACAAAACGCGGAAAAAGATAGATGCTGCGTAAGCAAAGGGCAAAATTTCAACTACAAAAAAAATGACTGAAAGCTTACCCGTAAAATCCTGTCACAGAAAATATCGCAAGTACGACAAGACAGCTCGAATTTAATACACCATTCCACGCAATGAATGACTGTGGATTTTGCATTTTGTTCTCAATGGGCATTATCTGGGAAAAAAAGTAAGTGCGATCATGTTATGCATGAAGCGGAAATGCAAAATATACCACTGCAACTCCTTCAAAAGCAAACATTACGGTGCCAAAAAATAATGGCAAATCCGAAAACTTTCCGAACCAAGGTAAAGAATTGACAGGACGAAGATCTAAAATTCAGGGCTAACCGTCAGAAAGCGGATGACAACTGAAATATAATACCTGACATAAAGAAAAACAACACGATAGCTACAGCAACGATGTATACAACATTAGCAGCCATGGAAAATGGCGCCAATATAGACAATCTGAAAATTCGAGGCTAGCGCGATATCAAGGAGCAAACCAGAAATACATCCGGCAAGCTTCCAACGTCAGCGCTACTTACCTTCTAATTGAACAAATGGACAACATAGGAATCAGAAGCAATAGCATCCAAGTAGCTTTGGAAAGATGGATAGAGGTATTGGAGTTGAAGAACTGAGATATCAAAGTTGGAAAATAAGAAGAACAACGTTGAGGTGACTTACATCTTCTAAGTTGTCTGCCATGAAAACAAAGTATACGCAACAAAACCCAAGTTGAGATACGAACATGTTTGTGTTCACCAACTGCCTGCAACCTTGACTTAGCCAAAAATAAAAATGGATTTACTAAAAAACTTACTTGAAAAAATATCCTTTATGTCGAATCCAAGTCGGTCCCATCTCTACGGCTCCACGCATGATGTTCGCATAATCAATCAAGTCTCGGCCATTTCTGTAACATCAGCATACAGTTTCATGCACGCGGTACCAATGCATGCAAGTCATACGTCAGCAACCCCATACGATCTTGCAAGCTCAAAAGAAATCTATTACTTTCAAGAAAAGAACTATACGGTTTAGAAAGGAAGCCCATACATATGTTGGCTCTCCCAAGTGGAACATTATCGCAGCTGACTGATACGAGCGTGTGAAAAATGTCATTCTGTTGCGCAGCAAAAAAAGTGACAGCAATTAATCTTCCACTACAAAAACGGCGTTATCTGATAATCATAAAACAAAGCTAGCCCCGACAGAAAAAAAAAGAGGGAAAGGTTGGAGGCAGAGTGGAAAACGCGATGAGAAGGATTATTCGAAAACTGATGAATGAAGGAAAATTGAACCATAGTTATTGATGCAAATGAATAAGAAGGCTTTGCAAAATAAATAAAAATCAAAATTTCTGTACCTGTTACAGACAAAGTGTGCAGCGAAGACGACTTGGCGCATACAGTAGAGACATATAAGGCAAATTACAACAGTGAGGATGAGCCCCAGCTGAAAAGTTCAATATGAATAAGTAAAGTTGAAATTACAAAGCCACTTACAAACAACCCGGAATGTTTGAAAGCAAGAGGCAGTGAAAGCAATCCAGTACCAAGCATAGCTTTCACCATATGTACAAAGGCTTGCTCAGACGTCAGCGAATTTTGGGTAGCAGCGCGCTCGTGGAAGAGCACTGTATCCTCCACTGGCTGTCTTGCGCAAGCCTGAAAAGAGAAAGATTGTTGTGAGTTATTCACAGAGAAATCTCCAATCAAGTCAATTACGTCCATGATTGGTCCTATTCATACCGCTCAACAAGTTGTATCTTATCAGTGACAGTGATGCTTTTAGATGCATTTCGATTGTTTCTATGCTTCTATCTGGACCAAGACGTAAAAACTACCATTAAATCGTCACGCTTGGAAAGCATTTCCCAAAAGAAAAACATATATGCCGGAAACTGTCTTTATCTGCAAAAGTCTGCAAAAGGGGAAAATTGGACTCAAATGTGTAACTGCTGCAGTACGAAGGCAACTGACATAGTTTAAAGTTCTCTTCGTATAACCCGAAGTGATCGAAAAGAATGCCCTAACTCTAGTCATGGAAGAGGTAAACCGAAACATGAAGGATGACCCAAAACCAAAAGTTATGCAAAAACTCTACAAATTTTCTTGTTGCCCAAGTGAATACATGATAAATTTTGATCCTTGCTTTCGAAAAGCCTCACAGTGCCGCGATCATTAGCATAAAAAGCATATGCATGTTTAATTAGCAGACATTATTCACTGCTGTGAAGTGTCGTGAATCAGCGTCCCTAGTGAGGGCATTATTGAGGAAAAAATTGCGAAACTATTGATCATTTTCAAATCAAAGTTCGCAAATTCATGGGTAACACAAGAAGATGATGTGTAATGACTACACAGAACAGATTTTGAAGTGAACATACTAGAAGAAATAATCAATAAGTGTAATTAATCGATACACATTTGAAATCTATAATTAGCCATTATGAACCATAAGAGGGAAAATAAATGAAGAGATGAACTCAGAAAAGATGAGAAAGTCAAGACATTTGCAAAGTTCTACAACGAAAAAATACTACCCGGAAAATCCGACTTCTACTACTAAACGGGAGTTTGAGACAAGGTCTAAAGGCAGAAAGTTTTGATAGCATTCATTCGCATCTTCATTGAAATGTACCCTTCCGCTGCTGATTTTTTGACAACCGAATGAGATAAGAAACGACTTCAGCAGCTGTTAGCTTGATTATTCGTAAAAAAAGTACCAAAAACTTGATTAAATTGAAAAAAGCAATGTGTATGCAATGACTAATAACATTCTCAAAAAGATAAGATTTGAACTAGGTCAAAGACTGAATATACAGGAGAAAACAAGGTTTTGAAAACAGCTTTATAGAAGATGAAATTAAAACTAAGATAATAAAGAACTGACCTGCGAGGCGGTTTCCGGATCGACTTCATTATCAAACTCTTGATAACCTTCTCTCACTGGATTCGCCATCTGAAAGGCGATAGGACTCGAATAAGACATCATGGAGCCGAACGGCACCACGAGAGACACACATTCAACACAATGACACTGCGTTCCCCATGCGTGACAGGCAAAAAAGTGAATAGCATTTACATTCGTGAGGTGAACGTCAGTCAAACCATGGAAAAACCTTTTCATGGAACATTTTTACCCTATTACCAAAAATGACAAATGATGACTTGCACCGGATGTCTGCAAGTTAGATGGATAAGTTAAACATTTATGCATTATTGCACGCTTATGATTAGTTAGAGGAAGAAGGAAACAAAAAATGAAAGCCCATGAATAGCAAGATGATTGACGCTGGTTTGGCTGCACCGAAACCGGAACGACGTCCGAGTGCTTGAGAAGCAAGATAATTGAACAAGAAGGGGGAATTCCTTGCCAAAGACCAAACCACCAAACGACCACGATCAAAGCACGTCAGACTGTACGTCAATCCACTCGCCAAGCGTCAGACAAGTTTTTGCATTTATGATTCATGATGAGTTCAAAGAATCAATGTCAGCAAGGGAGAAGGTTTATGCCGTTATCTTGTAGGAAATTTGTTCAATCAAGTGTGTAAACAGATCGATACAAGAATGAATTTTCCTACATTGGAATAATATCATATAAGCAAATCGAATGCAATTATTCTAACGCATTTAAAAAATTGAAGAGACCTTTCAGAAGGATATTAGGGAATAAGAGAGAATAGAGAAAGGTAAAAAAGACTGACAAATGACAAAGAGTGCACACTTTCTAAGTGTAGTGCATTTGCAGACATTATAAACTTGTCGGATGAAGTCAAAATGCCCGCCACCTCCACTTAAAATTCTTGATGCCGAGCGAAATTCTGCTCGAAAGAGTCAAGAATCAACAGAGAAACGAAGGATGCATTTGCATCAGATGCAATGGCGCATTCCATTTCTGCACACAAGTCGCAAGAGCATCCATAAGTTATAGCGTTTTTGCCGCGCAACTGTTGTGATCACCGCGGCGAAGCTATCTTGACCATAAAATCTGCCGGTACTATTCCACATTAGTTGACCCAAAAAATCAGAATCGCGAATTTCGCTAGATCTTTGTCTAGGCGGTTATTTTGCACTCCGATTGTGAATATCGCATTATCGCATTTATTTCGCACGTAGTGCTATATGGTGGAGTTACAGTAGGATTACGGTATGTGTCAAACAATCATGGAATTGCCCCAAATTTTGCTTGGGAGGTTCATTGGTACGCTGAACATGAATATCATATTCCGATAGCGTCTTTTTTCGGACTACGGTGGGTATATGGTAGATGGTTGAAATCCGAATTTGCTCGAAGGTTTGCATAGAGCGTTCTTGAGCATGCTGACTGCCAACGTCATGCTCAATAAGGCGTTATTGCAGCGAAAGAACATGATATTTTTATCAGCATACTCGTGAACCCTTCCATGCAAAGTTTTAAAAAAACTCGGAATTTTTGCCACCTACCATAGCTCACGTAACCCGAAACGGCGCTACCGTAAAAAGTGATTGTGATATTCATGTTTAGCGTACCAAATAACCCTCAAGACAAAGTTTGGGGTAAATCCATGATTTTGACCCCCTACCGTAACTGCACCATATGGCACTACGTGCGAAATAAATGCGATATTCGTGATCAGCATGCAACATAACCCACCTACACGATGTTTTAGCCAAATCCGCAATTTTCATTTTTTGGCTCAACTAATATGGAATAGCACTAATCTGCCTTTATATAAGGTTTATTTACAAGCTGGCAGTATATTCCCGTGATGATATAGAGGCTAACCTCGGACGAAGGTGGATGTCGACGTGAGATATGCGCATGCGAATGCGGACGAAACACTGTGACGACATTTCCATTCAAGAGATTAAAGAAAACCTCCACCACTCTTTAACATTCAAACCTCAGACTGCAGCAGAATGTTGAGAACCTATTCATAAAGCCGGATCTAGAACTTTTCTTTGGTAGCTGCATGTGAGAGAACCAGTTATGCAGCTTTTGTCAAAAGGAAAGTGCAACAGTGTACTCTACTAACATGCGGGATGATGCGCGATGAAAGTTCATCAAAAAATTCCCCTCGTAAATGTGGAGCAGATACGCGCATGAGACGCGATTGCGTCTTCAAGAGAGAGAGGTTATGGTTGTAAGAGAGAGCAGACGAGGAGAGTTGCTATTCAATGGGGTAGAGAGAGAGAGAGAGAGAGAGAGAGAAAGAGAGAGAAAGAGAAAGAAAGAAAGAGAGAGAGAGACTGGAGAATGTCTGCGATGTCGTCATCCTTCCAGCAAATTTCCACGTTTGCAGTTTGTGCCAAATGAAAATAGGACTACATTACATTACAGAATTTTTGCTGTGCTTTTAGCGTCCTAACGGCCCTAAATGTGATGTTTTCCCAAGAATTTGTCTCTGAAACTCTTTTTAACACTTGTATCGTCGGTTTCAGTTCCGAAGCGACAATTGCTGTCAAAAAATCTTTGAACAAGGCTGGAGAGCATTTGTTTGAGATGAACCCATTCGCAGACCTATGGCAAGAACTTATGAAGAAGTCACTTTATCACATTCTATAACTGTTTATAACACAAAATTTTAAGATCGGTTCAATTCTGGGACTACAATCGTGAATCCCAAGCTGTTTTTCACTGATTCTGATTATCTGTCTTTTATTGTTAATGCAAGTATTAGGTTAATGCAAAATCAATGCATATTGAACATATAATTCGACCAGTGCGTCACCTCTGCTTCGCAGAGGCTCGCACTGGCCCTATTTTCTGTATGCCTTTCATTCCCGCATAATAATGACATTGAAACTCACCGCGCTATGTAGGCTATCACGAATAATTCGTAAACAACTACTCATTCGTAGAGGTTTTCCATGTGAAATCGGTATTTTCGCGTAGATAAAATCTTTCCCAGAAGAACAGATGCAAATTCGAATAGGTTTTTGGGATTTTTATGGTTTGGTAGTCGCCGTAAGGACAATGAACATAGTGGGCTACATCTCTGTGCAAAAATCTTCTCAAATGATCAGGTAAAATCTTGAAAAATTGACCGTTTAAAAGGCGAATGCTTTTTGGCGCTGTTTTCGTAAAGTAGTAGACTTTTCATTACTTTTTTAGGCTAACGTCCATGGCTTGCACATTAGCTTGTCAAATATACCCTTAACTCTGCAAAAAGTAGTACTACGGACCCAAATTTGCTAGCCAGAAGCCAAGTGGATCCGTTTGATGCGCAATTTTCAATGGATCCACTCAACGGATCCGCTCATGCTTTTGTGTAGTGAGCTTTCATGCTGGAAGCGTGCGCTATGCAAAAATTGGGCTCAGGACGTTGGCTGGAACGCGCTCTACGAATTTCGTGACAGACAGAAATTCACACACACACACACACACACACACACACACACACACACACACACACACACACACACACACACACACACACACACACACACACACACACACACACACACACACACACACACACACACACACACACACACACACACACACACACACACACACACACACACACACACACACACACACACACACACACACACACACACACACACACACACACACACACACACACACACACACACACACACACACACACACACACACACACACACACACACACACACACACACACACACACACACACACACACACACACACACACACACACACACACACACACACACACACACACACACACACACACACACACACACACACACACACACACACACACACACACACACACACACACACACACACACACACACACACACACACACACACACACACACACACACACACACACACACACACACACACACACACACACACACACACACAAACGTAAACAACCCTTAGCCCGTTATTATAAGTTATGATGATAGAGCAAATCAAGCGCTTTATGATGTTTTTCACTCAACCGCAAAACATTCGATACACGGCAAGCTTAGAAAGAAAATCTAAGAAACATTCGATACACGGCAAGCTTAGAAAGAAAATCTAAGAAACACTCGAATACCACAAAATCAGAACCCTCTCTCACTAGCAAATGCTGCGAACCTCCAGCTTGGTCGCATATGCTATTCACAAAAACATTCATATGTACACTTGCCTTTTTTGATTAAAAATTGGAAAATAAAAATAGGCCAAAATTACAAAAATGTCGTTTTTTCGGCTTTTTTATATTAAATTTACTATTTCTTGGCAACTGACTCTTGAAGAAGGCTAAAATTATTATTATGCGAAAAAAGTTTGTAGGATAACTCATGTTCAACAGTCCAGCAATGCTTTTGCTAGAGCATGCTAATATATAATTTACCAATCTCTAACCTGGAAGAAGTGCAGCAAATATAATACATACGAATAGCTGATGCAGTAAGTAACCTTGAGCAAGTTGGAAGTTTCTTTTTTGGGCAAAAATCCGATATTGTGAGCATTTTCTTAAATTTTTCTTCTAGACGTTCCATATATCGAACTTTTATGATTTTGAACGCCATTCAGTAGAGCTTGCTCTGTTCTATCGATTGATATGTTTCTTACTTTATTATTCTCTGCGGCGATAGAAAAAGGAAATTTATTTGCATCAATCTGATATATTTTATAGCCCGACGTCATTTTTCGTCTTTCGTGCTTGCTGTTGATGTAGTTTACCACTGCACGGCAAATTTCTACCAGAATTTCGAAAGTGATCGCTCAGCCCAGCAGTAGACATGAACAAATATCTGGTATTCAAAAGAAAGTTGACTAGACTTTTTGTTGCTACCCAAAAATTCGAACTCTAAATTCTCCAACAATACCTTACATGCTGACGTCTGCTCGGGAAGAGTACGGTGTGCTAAAGTTCAAAGCTGGTCTTGGTTAATCTATGAGCTGCGGCTCAGGCAACACCTTAGAGACTCGCAATTCAACTTCCACAGAAGAAGGTCAGATATTCAGATTTGCCTGGACACCGTCTTTGGGTGCTCTTAAAAATTCCATAGCTTTTATTTTTTTTGCATGCTTGCCAAATTCAGATTCCGGCAAATAAATTTCAAATTAGCATTATTTCACCAATCTAGTCACTGGAAATGCGATATTGTTGTAATCTGTTGCATTGGAAACTAGTTAGAAGAGAATTCGATTTCACATGAGGCATGTTGTGTTTCGCGCTAAAATTCTCAGTGGGGGAGTG